GAGTCCCTGCATTCCTTCCCCATCTGTGCTCACGTCCCCCCAGCTCTGCCATCATCTTCCACCTGGACACCAACCAAGCCCCCGCTCTCCCTGCTGCTGTCTGGGCATCAACAGCCCATGCTGATCCTTGTGAACAGAACCCTTCCTGCTCTGGTTTCCCTGTCACCTTGTGCAGGAAAGCTCTTCTGAGCCCACCAAGTTGAATCCCCGTTACAGATTTGACATCCTGGCACACCTCCCTCCATTGCCCTGATCGCACTTCTGATTTGCTTGTGTGATTAGTTCACTCATGTCTCGCCCCACCTGGTTGCAAACTCCACAAGGGTGGGAGTTTGCATGGCTCCCCTTTATCCACAGGGCAAAGTCCAAAGGGCTTAACTTGGCTTTTCTGGCTCCTCCAAGTGGATTCTGCCACCTCTCCAGCCCGATCTCACCTGCCCCCATTGTCTTTTATGGCCCAGCCATCCTCCGCTTCTTCAGGTTCCTGGAAGTCTCCATGTGTCTTCTCTCATGCCCTGGATCTGCCTATATGCTATGACTCTCCTGGAAACTTTGTCTCAGAAAATCTTCATTCTCATTGTCAAGGCTTTAAAAGTTGCCTCTTCGGGGGTAGGTTTAGTTCTCCCAACTCATTCTGGAAATCTAAGTTCCTTCTATCTAGTTGTTCTGTCATCCTCAATCCATAGCTTCCTGTTAGGTCCAAAACAGCTGCTATAGCTTTTCCATCACATCTGCGTTCCAGGCACTGGCGAGAGAGAAAGGGTCATTCCTCTTAAGGGCATGACTCAGAAGCGGTGCCTATCACTTCTACTTAATCCCGTTGGCTGAAGCTTAGTCATACAACCACACCTAACTGCAAAGGAGGCTGGGAAATAGTATCACTCTCTGCTGATTATGTTAGCATGTTTCCCACTAATGCTCCAAAATTCTCTCATTATGAGAAAAAAGTGGATGGATGCTGGTGGACACTGGTGGTCCCTGCCACACTCACCCCCACTGTGCCCAGCATAGTGCTATCTCTGCCCAGCCAGACTGTGAGCTCTCTAAGGGCAGGGACCATATACGGTGGCCATTGCAGCATCCCCTGCAAGTCACAGAGTGCTGGTTATGACACGTGGCAAATAAGAGTGAATGGCAGAGGCCACAAATACAAGGTGGAGAAACTGAGGCAGGCCCCAGTTGAGTTCCACACACATTTGCTGGGTGCTGATTACACATAAGACCCTGGGCTCCATCCCAGGGCCTAGGGGACAGCAACAAGCGCTTGTCTGGCCTGGCAGTGTCCCAAAAAACACCAAGTCTGGGGTTGCAAGACCCCACCAGGTGGGGAAGCTGCCAAGGTCCGGGGAGTGATTCAGAAACAGAGCAGAGTCCACCGTCAGAACAGGAGGCGCCATGAAAGCCTACGGGTGAGGCAGATGCTAGGCCCTCAGCCCACCTGGCCCTGGGTCCCCTGTACATCCAGCCACTCCCCAACATGGTCTGGCCTCGGGCCCAGCCCCGAGCACCTGCCCTTCCCTGCTCTCCTGAGAGGCCTGAGCTGGGGTCCTCCTCCCCTGTCCACTGCCATGGGAAAGGCCGATGGGAGCCCTCCAGGCTCAAGCCCCAGACCCAAGCTCCAGCCTCACAGCTGCCGTGCTTGCTGTTCCCTCTGGCCGGACCTCCCTTGGTGCTGCTTGGCTGCTGCTCTCAGCTTAGACAGCACCTCCTCACCCTCTCCAAAGACCGCCGCCCTCCTCGCCCTCTCCAAAGACTGCCGCCCTCCTTGCCCTCTCCAAAGACCGCCGCCCTCCTTGCCCTCTCCAAAGACCGCCGCCCTCCTTGCCCTCTCCAAAGACTGCCGCCCGCCCCGGTGCATCTCCACCACATTGCGCGTCTCGTTGCTTCCCACCTCGGGTCTGTGTGGGGTGGTCAGGGAACCCTGCTTTTGTTCATTCCTTTGTTGGTTTCTTCGCTCTCTGTCTCCCCAGTAAAGGACATGGACCTTTTCTGTCTTGCTTTCTACTGTATTTAGAGCCTAGCTCAGGGCCTGGCACATAGTAGGTGCTCAGGTAATATCTATGGACTGACTAAATACATACACACACAGTGAGGAAAGACAAGAGAATTGGCACTCACTGCACTCATATGACCTGCCAGCCGCATGCACAGTCATTGGAAACAGAGGCTGCACGAGAGTACCCTTTCTGCACGAAGTAAAGATTGCCTTGCTAAGAGATCCTTTGTCTCAGTGCTGATTTTTCTTTGCAGCACCGAGCATCTGTTTTGAACAATTATATCACCACCTGGGCAGAATCATTATCCCCATTTCACAGCTGAAGAAACTGAGACTCTGAAAATGAAGTGACTTGAACAAGGTTATGCCAATAGTTAGGGCAAAGTCTCAGACGGGGGAAATATTTACAACTGAATGCAAAGATCTTGGAGCGGGTGGTGGATTCTTGGTTGTGAACATCTGTTAAATCTCATAAAATTGTACACTTTAAATCAGAGTTTCTCAGCCAAGGTTGGTTTTCCCCCTGGGAGACATTCAGCAAAGTGCAGAGACATTTGGTCATTGTGGGGGTGGGCAACGCTACTGGCGTCTGGTGGGGAGAGGCCAGAGATGCTGCTGAACACCTGCAGAGCCCAGCTCAGCCCCCACAGCAAAGAACTGTCTGACCCAAAATGTCAATAGAGCTGAGGCTCAGAAACTCTGCATTGAAGGAATGCAGTTCACTGAACATAAATTATATAATCCATTTACTAAGGCATAATCGATGCATTTCTTTAAAAATAGAAAAGATATACTGATATGCTGGGCGCGGTGGCTCACCCCTGTAATCCCAGCACTTTGGGAGGCCGAGGCAGGCGGATCAGCTGAGGTTGGGAGTTTGAGACCAGCCTGGCCAACATGGAGAAACCCTGTCTCTACTAAAAATACACAATTGGCCAGGCATTGTGACGCACACCTGTAATCCCAGCTACTCCAGAGGCTGAGGTGGGAGAATTGCTTGAAACCAGGAGGCGGAGGTTGTGGCGAGCCCAGATTGTGTCATTGCACTTCAGCCTGGACAACAAGAGTGAAACTCCATCTCAAAAAAAAAGTGTTTGTTGAGTGGCCCAAGCCCCTCTTGACCCAGGCAAAAATGCCAAGGGGAAGATGAAGGGGCATCAAGAGGGTTCTCTCTGACCCGCTGAAGGAGAGGCTGGGATGTTGATTTCTTAGGGAAAGCTCCGTTTTCCTGAAAGAGGACTAGAGCCTGAGTCTCTCACCCAGGGAGGCTCAGGGTCAGTCCAACCAGCCCAACCTGGGCTGCCCCTACCTCATAATTGGTGGCCCTCTAGCCTAGACATGCCAGCCTCCAGGCAGTGACCCGGCTGCCTCTCCCACCTGTTTGTCCTCTTCCGAGAAGCAGGACGCTCCCTTTATCTCTGGCCAAAGTCCCCCCCACCACCCCGCCCCGGGGAAGGGGAGAAATGCCACCTGTCATCACGGGATGGGTGAATCACCTCCTACTGGCTGGAGGCCATAGCCAGCCCAACCCTCTCTCTTTTGCCCCCCAGCTCTCCCCTGTGGGTGGGGGAGGATGGGAATAGCACCCTAAAAATCGTGACAGCAACAGCTGCCGTCTCTGTGGTGCTGGCATGGAACCTGTCCCTGGGAGCTTAAGTATGCAGCCCTGGGTTCCTAGCCCAGCTCCCACATTCTAACCCGGTGATTTGGGGGAGTCACCCCTTCCTGATCCCCATTTATACATTCGGCAAATATTTATTACGCAAGCAATCTGAACCAGACGGGGGTGCTGAGAACGCCACAGTGAACACCCTGAAACAATCCCGCCCTGTGGAATCCATTGGGTAGAGACGTTCAAAACTGACAATGATAATAATGTTCATAAATTTTAAAATTCTGAGTGTCAATTGGTGATGATGTCATGAAGAGAAGGTGCTGGGAGTGCTAGGACCCTGCTGATGCTGAGGGTCTTGTTCACGTAACCAGGCAGTCTGGGACACCCTGAGATACATTGAAAATGGAGGAAAGGGCCGGGTGCAGTGGCTCACACCTGTAATCCCAGAAATTAGGGAGGCCAAGGAGGGCAGATCACCCGAAGTCAGGAGTTTGAGACCAGCCTGGCCAACATGACAAAACCCCATTTCTACTAAAAATACAAAAATTAGCTGGGCGCGATGGCAAGTGCCTGTAATCCCAGGTATTCAGGAGGCTGAGGCAGGAGAATCGCTTGAACCCAGGAGGTGGAGGTTACAGTGAGCCAAGATGGCACTACTGCACTCCAGCCTGGGCGACAGAGCAAGACTAAGTCTAAAAAAAAAAAAAAAAAAAGAAAGAAAGAAAAGAAAAGAAAATGGGGGGAAAGACCTGGAGGGAGGTGAGAGAGGGAGGCTTGTGGCTCTCTCCAGGGACAGAGTCCCAGGAAGAGGAAACAGCAAGTGCAAAGGCCCTGATGTGTTCCAGGGGCAGGGAGGAGGCCAGTGTGGCTGAAGGAAGATGGTGGAAAGCTAAAGTGGGGGCACAACCACACAGGGTTTAGGGACACTGCCAGGACCTCGTCTTTGAGTCCAGTTGACGTGGGAGCCAGAGGAGGGTGCTGAGCAGAGCAGAGAAGTGATCCGACTTCCTTTGGGTAGCCAGACACTGACAGAATGGGGAGATATTTGGAAGCTATGGCCACAATCCAAGCACATACTGGTGGTGACTCATGCCGGGTGGGGGTGGGGAGAGGCTGTGGAGCTTGGACGGTGGTGGGATCCCGGATGCAGGCTGTGGATGGGAGGTTGGGGCAGAGGCTAGAGCAAGAGAAGAGTCAGTGAGGACACTCAGGTGTGTGGCCTGAGCCCCTGGAAGGAGAGAGGTGCCACTTTCAGAGGCAAAGACAATGCAAGAGAGGTAGAATCCTGCAGGAGGAGAGGTCTGACTTCTTATCCGGGACGTCTGAGATGCCTGGTAGACATATTGAATGGTAGTTGGATATGCAAGACTGAGTTCAAGGCAGGAAATGTATGTTTAGAGCGTTTTAACTTGGAGACAGTATTTAGAGACTCAGTTTCTTTGTCTGTAAAATGGAGATTAAACAGCATCTGCTTTGCCAGGTTGCTATGAGCCTAGGTTGAGCACTGAGAGGCCTTGGGCAGGTAGCAACGCACAGGTAAATATCAGTTCTGTTACTTCCATGCCCAGCTCGCCCAATCCTCATGAGGTTATTGCCATCTGATTTAATTTTACAGGAAGTGGAGGTTCAGAGAGGTTAAGTGACTGGGCCAAGGTCACACAGACTAAAAATGGCACAGCTAGGATCTAAGGCTGAATCTAGAGTCTTGTTCTTGGCCTTCTCCCTTTTGCCTCCTCCCTGCTCACCCAGCACCAGGCCCTTGGATCCTGAACTGATCAGACTTGGGGGGCTCCCAGTTGGGTAAGCAGATAGGACCTGAGCCTACCTCACCACGGGACAAACTAGAAGAGGGGCTAGTGAGGCAGCACAGCCATGTAGTTAAGAGAAGCACCACGGACCGGGTGCGTTGGCTTACAACTGTAATCCTAGCATTTTGGGAAGCCGGGGCAGGTGGATCCTGAGGTGAGGAGTTCAAGACCAGCCTGACCAAAATGGAGACACCCTTTCTCTATTAAAAATATAAATAAAAAAAAAGTTGGGCATGGTAGCGCATGCCTGTAATCCCAGCTACTCAGGAGGCTGAGGCAGGAGAATAGCTTGAACCCAGGAGGCGGAGGTTGTGGTGAACTGAGATTGCGCCATTGCACTGCAACCTGGGCAACAAGAGCAAAACTCTGTCTCAAAAAAGAGAAAGAAGCACAGCTATGCCCAACCATGCGGGTCCAATCGGGCTCTACCTTCACTAAGTGTGTGATCCTGGAGATGTGACTCCTGTTTTGTGTGCCTCAGTTTCCACTGTTGTGAAATGGGATAACACAGTTGTTGGGAGGACTGAATGAGTTGGTCCATGAAAAGTTTTTAGAACAGGACCAGAAACTCAAGAGGTGTTCCAGCTCGGTTTCCACCAAACATGTGCCCCCAGGGTCTGGGGCCACCTGCCTCGCCTTTGGGACCCCATCTGTCCCTTGCTCAAGGTTCACATCTTGCCTTGGCTGCTGTGAGCTATGTGTTTTTGGGTTTCTCACCCCACTTCCCTGCACCCACACTTCCTCTGACTCCAAAATGGAGACAATATCTACCAGTGGTGAGGATCAACAGACACAACGCCTGCAAAGGACACTGGATTGTGACTGTGACAAGCCCCGAGGGGTGCTTAGTGTGCACAAATGTTCCTGACAGCTGGAAACCCAGATGTCCTCCCTGAAATGGAACACGACTCAGCCACAAAAAGGAGCAAGTGCCTGATATTTGCAACAAAGCAATGAATCTTGCAGGCATTGTGTTGAGACCAAAAAGAACACTCCTGGTGTTTGAAATTATAAATGAAACACAACTAAACTGTGGTGACTGCAAGCAGATCAGTGGCTCCCTCGACTGGGCCAGGGACAGGGAGTTGTGTGGTCAGGGACATAGGGAACTTGCTTTTGGGTATGTTTCAAATGTTGTTTTGGGTGGTTGATTCGTTGAAATTCATGAAATTGACATAAGACCTGTACATTTCACTGCATGTTCATCGCATCCCACTTTTCAAAAATGTTATTTTTGTTTAATTGTTTTTTTGAGACAAGGTCTCACTCTGTTGCCCAGGCTGGAATGGAATGGCTCAATCACAGCTCACTGCAACCTTGACCTTTCCGGGCTCAGGTGATCCTCCCACCTCAGCCTCCTGAGTAGCTGGAAACACAGGCGTAGATCACCACACCCAGCCAGTTTTCTCCTTTTTGTAAAGATGGGGTCTCAAACTCCTGGGCTCAAGTGATCCTCTGACTTCAGCCTCCCAAATTGCTGGGATTACAGGCGTGAGCCACACTGTGCCTGGCCCCCAATTATTTTTAAAAAGCAACAAAAAAGTTTGTCATTGTCATCATAAGTGTGTTCTTATTTCTCTGACTATTCTATGGCACGAAGTGCCCCCTTAGTCCCCTCTCTTGATGCCAACAGAGAGCTGAAACTAAGTTTGGGGTGACTTTTCCTCACCTCTGGTCCATCAGAGGTCTCTGCCACATAAACAAGATGAGCAGACAATCTAGAAAGAGTCCTTGGAACCGGATACAAACCTGGCTCTGGCTCTGCCTCGTCCTTGCTGTCTGCCCTCAGTTTCCTCACCTGTTGAACGGGGCTAATAGTGGTGTCCTGCTTGTGAGGTGGTTGCAAGGATTCATGGAGATGAGATGTGCACAGGGCCATGGGTATTGGAGGCTCACAGAGACAGACAGAACAAAACAGAGACAACCAAAGGAAAAACAACCCTGAAACCAAAATAACACGAAGCAGCTGGGAGAGGGTGGGGGTGATGGAGCGCAGCAGCCTGGAGCCAGATCGCTGGGCGTCAGGTCCTGCTCCTGGGCCATTCCCCTCACCTCTCTGTGCCTCAGTTTCTGAATTTGTAAAGCAAGGATGATACCAGCACCCACCCATAGGCTGCATGAGGCCTGATTGAGTCACTCATGGAGAAAGAGTGGTGCACGTGCATGGTGTGTGCTGCTGTTCTACTCAGGGTCGGGAAGGGGAGGAGCACACCACCTTGAGGGTAACTCAGAGAGCCCAGTTCCTTTTGAATTGCTGCCCGGCCCAGGTCATGGTATCCCAGCTGGTGATGGGGTGGGCAGTCCAGCTCCTGGCCCTGTCAGATGCAGCTGCAGGGGCTGTAGTTCGCCAAGGTCTGGGGCCCTTCCTGGGCTCCTTGCTGGGCTCCCCGTGGCTGGGACAGATTGCTGCCTTCCTCTCTCCTGGGTGCCAGGCAGGCCCAGAAACCACCTGATGTCAGCAGGGCCTGTCCACCCACTGCTGGGAAGTGGCCAGGTGCCTGGGGACAGATGAGCCAGGCAGACATGCCCTGAGGCAGCACAGTCAGGGCTGACGTGGGCATCACAAACCCCAGGGGTTTTGGAGCTAGCCCTGGTCCTGTTTGCCCACATCAAGCAGGTCAGAGTGGAGCAGGGCAGGGGCCCTGGGGTCAGAGCATGCACTGACCTGGCGTCTGTCCCCACTCCTCCAAACGCAGCCAGGAGATGCGTGCACTGGGCGGCGGCACGTGGAAGAGGGACAAGGTGTGTGTCCAGGTGTGGCTGGAAGCAGGGGGTCAGCTGTGTGGGGTGCATGTGTATGGAGGTGACTGTGTGTCTGGCATGTGAATGTAAGATTTTAGTAAGGCAAGTGAGCTTGTGCACATGCGTGTATGTGTGTGTGTGTGTGCATGTATGTGGCTGAGCATGTGTGAGTAGGCATCTGTGTGCCATGTGTGTGGGAGCCGGGCAGGGGCAATGTGCGTGGCTGCGTGTGCCAACACATTGCTGAGCATGTACTCGTGTGTGCCTGGGTGTGTGAATGACAGAGTAAATGTATATGGTTAATTGTATGAGAGTGTGTGTAGGGGGAGGGGATGTGTGTATCCTTGACTGTGGGTGTGTGTGTGAGCACATGCGCCTGCCATGCTGTAAAATGTTCTGCAAGAAACCCCCCCTTTAAAAATTTTTTTAAATTTATTTATTTATTTTTGAGATGGAGTCTTGCTTTGTCGCCCAGGCTGGAGTATAGTGGCACGATTTCAGCTCACTGCAACCTCCATCTCCCAGGTTCAAGTGATTCACCTACCTCAGCGTCTCGAGTAGATGGGATTACAGGTGTGTGCCACCACGCCCCGCTAATATTTTGTAATTTTAGAAGAGACATGGTTTCACCATGTTAGCCAAGATGGTCTTTCTTAAAATTTTTGAGATGGAGTCTTGCTCTGTTGCCCAGGCTGGAGTGCACTGATGTAATCTTGGCTCGCTGCAACCTTAGAAGCCCAGGTTCAAGAGATTCTCCTGCCTCAGCCTCCTGAGTAGTTGGGATTACAGGCACGTGCCACCACGCCTGGCTAATTTTTGTATTTTTTTTTTTAGTTGAGACAGGGTTTTGCCTTGTTGGCCAGGCTGGTCTTGAACTTCTGAACTCAGGTGATCCATCCACTTGGGCCTCCCAAAGTGCTGGGATTACAGGTGTGAGACACTGCGCTCAGCCAAGAAACCCCTTCCGCATACAGAGCTTTGCTCCTTTGTACTAGAATGTTCATGAACAGGTGGGGTCAACTGGTGGATACATTTAAAATCTTGACAGAAGTGGCCAAGGAGATCTTTAGAAAGGACAGAGGGAGCAGTGATATCCAAGTTGATCCCTGACCAATCAGAACAGGTGTCAGCTGCAAACACCCAGAGCTAGCCCTGGTCACCACAACTTCTGTTCCCACCAGCAGCATCCAAGAAGGCTTGGCCTATAGTCATTCTCAGGCTGCCCCCAAAGCAAACCAGCAAATGGTCAGCTTTATAATAACAAAGTCAACATATTATAATCTCATGGGCTGTCAATTTCAATGGCAAACATTCATTCATTCGCTCACCAACATTCACTGAGCACTTACTATGTCCCAGACACAGTTTCCGGTGCTGGGAACAAGATGGACAAAAATTTCTTTGCTGGTGGCACTGGTGAGAACAAGCAGATGACAAAATAAGTGAACAGCCTGTGGAGAGGGTTAACTGGTGGTAAGGGCTGTAGATAAAAATAAAGCAGGAACAGTAGATCCAGAACGCCAGGTGCGTTTGCGGTTTTAAAAAGATTGGTCAGCTGAGGCTTCATGGAAGCAGCATTTCGGTGAAGACCTGAAGGAGGTGAAGGCCGAGCCACGTGGATCTCTAGGGGAAGAGCAAGCCCCCAGCAGAGGCCACGGCAAGGGCAAGGGCGCTGAGCACACACCTGGCTGGTTCAAGGAAGACAGAAGGGGCCATGTGGATTTAGTAGCTTTTTAAAAACTGATGATAAAAGCAAATGGTGCTTGTGGAACCACCATCCAGAAAAACGAATAAAAGAGAAATTCAAAGTACACATACAGTAGGCTGGGCGCGGCGGCTCACACCTGTAATTCCAGCACTTTGGGCGGCGGAGGTGGGTGGATCACAAGGTCAGGCGTTTGAGACCAGCCTGGCCAAGATGAAGAAACCCTGTCTCTACTAAAAATATAAAAATTAGCCAGGTGTGGTGGTGGACACCTGTAATCCCAGCTCTTCAGGAGGCTGAGGCAGGAGAATCGATTGAATCCAGGAGGTGGAGATTGTAGTGAGCCGAGATCACACCACTACATTCCAGCCTGGGTTGACAGAGCGAAACCCTGGCAAAAGGAAAGAAAGGAAGAAAGGAAGGAAGGGAGGGAGGGAGAAAGGGAGGAAGGGATGGAACGGAGGGAGGGAGGAAGGGAAGGAACGGAGGGAGGGAAGGAAGGAAGGAAGAAAAAGAAAGAAGGGAAGTCCACAGTCACTGAAGGGTGGGAGCAGGAGAGAGGAACTAAGAGCTCGGTGTCTGGTGTACGGTTCACTTGATAATCAAAGCAATTTTCCATTTTGACAGGGCAACGCCGAAACAGTGCAGCTGCGTCCAAACTTCCAGCTGCAGCAAAACACCCGGCGTTTTCACAGCTCGCACCCCAGCCCTGAGCGAGCTAGGCACATAGTAAGTGCTCTCTCTGCCTTCTACATCCCCCCAGTTCCCTGGGTCCTGAGGGGATGAGGAAGAATGAATGCAAACCCCCAGTGTACAGACCGACTTATCCCCAGACCCCACAGGCCGCCAGCTGGGCCCCCAGCAGCCCGGGAATGACAGCGTCGTCTCTTCCTCCTCCTGCTTTTATGAGCTGTGAAGGAGGCTTGTCTCGTGTTGCACAATTGCCCCTTAATTGCTGTTTCCTCTCAGTTATGAATTATGTCATGGATATAGCCGCTCACGTTATTAAACTTCCACACAGGCCTTATCGTCTGGAGTCCGGCCAGCAACCCAGCCTGACCTACTTTCCCACCGGATTTCAAAACCGCCTCCCTTGTCCTCTCGTTGGACTTTTCCTAAGGAGAGTCTACTGTGCCCAAAAACTCAACGCTAAAAATAAAAACTAGAACGGAGAAGGGGGGCCACAGCTGGCCCCACCGAAGGCCCAAGGCTCAGAGCGGCCCCTGGTGACTGGGACCAAACCCCTCCCTGCCTAGAAGCTTCCTCAGGAAACCTGTCCTTGGGATGCAGGGGTCCCAGCAGGACAGTCAGGGACAGCAGTCCAGGTCCCCTGGGTGATCAGACCCCACTCTCGCCTTCAGTCATGGCCGGGGTGGCTGACTTTGGAAGCAGGGAAACCTGGGTTCAGACCTTGGCTCTGACACTGACGAGCCCATTCATTCATTCATTCATTCACTCACTCCGGATATTGACTGTCTCCTGAATGCTGGCCCTGTGCTGGGCAGTGGGGAAATATTTGAGAATGAGGCAGACACACAGTCTCTGTGGGCAGAGATGGGCACAAAACACAAATTTTGAAGTTAGGGCAATGAAGAAAATAAGACAGTGTGGTAGGTTTGAGAGGAGCAGGGCTGCTTGTGGCAAAGACAGTAAGGGAAGTCCATCTATGAGGAGGGGTTGTTCGAGCACAGACCTCCATCATGAGAAGAGCCAGATCCGGGAGGGGAGCCTCGGGAGGTGCCGCACATGCAGGATAGAAGGAGGTGCTTGCTCTCAGGCTCAGCCACACGAAGGTTGGCATTTGAGAGTGACAGCCTCCTGAAAGCTTCATTCTGGGAACCTCACTTGCCCCACCCTAGTCCTGGGCCTGCTGGGAAGGAAAGGCATCTGAATAAAGGGCTCAACCAATGCAAACGCCCTGCAGTGGGATGAGCCTGGTGCGCTGGTGCAGAGAGAGCCAGGGAAGAGTGCGGTGCAGGGATGGGAAGGGGGTGGGCGGAGAGTTGGTGGGTGCAGATCACAGAGAGCCTCGAAGGCCGTGCTAAGAATTTGGTAAGGGAGAAGCTCTATTGTGAGGGCAGAGCCAGCAGTCCTCGTGGTGAGGTGATACTTGCAGGGCAGGTGTGGAAGACTCAGGATGCATTTCCAGGCTGGATGGAGGCTGGTTTCTTGATTGACGAAGGAGAGATTAGCAAGTGCTTCGTTTCTCAGCGCCTTTAATATTCTTCATCTGGGAAGTAGGAATAATAAGATCAACCTCCCCAGGGAGTATGCTGTACTTAGCACAGTGATTCGCCTGGGTCACCCAGGAAGTTCGTGGCGCCACCAGGACTGGAACCCAGGCCCTGCTCTCCATGATGATCGCCACAGGCAGGGGCTGGGTCTTGGCATGAGATTCTCCAGCGATGCCACCTCCCAGCCAAACAGGCCTCGGCAGCAGGGGCTGGATTATTTTCTTTCTGAATTGTGCTTATGCGTGGGGCTGTTTATCTAAGTTGGCTGAAGTTAATTTTTATAGAAATGGTACATGTTCGCGGAAAACAAACTTGAAAATAAGCAAGAAGAAAAAGAACAGAGAAAGAGAGAGGAAAGAAGGAAGGGAGGGAGGGAGGGAGGGATTTAAATCAACATATGTACACTTAGACGAGTTATATAAGGACCTTCACTGTAGCATCCTTTGACATAACAAAAAGTCTGAAAACAATGTGAGTATGCAAGAATAGGGGTCTCGGTCGCTGCAAAAATTAAATATTTCAATCTTGTGCTGGGACCGAAGCGAATAAAGCAGGTATCTCTGTACCAATTTGAAACAATGGCCAAGATGTAATGTTAGCCTAGAAAAATGAGATGCAAAACAATTGTTATAGAATGCTACAAAGTGTGTGTGTGTGTGTGTGTGTCTGTGTGTGTGTGTGTGTCTTAAGGAGAGAGCGAGGAATGTGTTGACCTGTTTGCTGGTAGATGCGCAGACCGTCTATCAAGGAGCCACAAGGCTCTGGATTCCTGACTTTCCCGGGGGAAATGGCAAGTGGGAGATGGGAGGAGGAGGATTTGGGCCCGTCCTCTTGCACTGCTGGAAGGAAAACTTTTGGCTTTTGTTTTTGTTTTGCTTTGCCACGCACATGCCTGTCTTCTGTGCAACATTTTAGCAATATTTGAAAAATCAGAGACTTTTTGAAAGGACTTGGGATAATCTAGGCTGGCGTTTCCTGAAAGCTCCCCCAAATCCCGGGATTCCAGCGAGGTGCCTGTGGGCCACAGGGCTTGGGGAGGAGCTGCAGGCGGCCTGACCCTCCTTACCCAGAGATGTTTCTCTTTCATGTTTTATGGGTTGGACAAGTAAAGGTTCAGCTGTCAAAGGGTTTTGCCTGCTTTGAAATAAAATTTTTGAAAAGCTTTGATCTTGAATAATCTCTTCATTTTACTGATGAGGAGACAGGGACCCAGAAAGAAGAAAAAATAATATTCTCAGAGTCAAGCAGACCTGGGTTTGAGTCCGGCTCTGGCTGTGTGCCTTGGATAGTAAATTTTCCTCCCTGAACTCTGGCTTCCTCCTCCAGGGAGAGACAACCTCCCAAACATGAGTAGCTCACAGATATCAAAAGTGGAAGTAGACCCTGAGTCCTTAGCTAAGGACCAGAACAATCTTGGCAGAAACGTGCACAGGAAGTCAGATGGCCTCTGCCTCACCATCCTAGGTCTCAGGGTCCTCTGCCTCACCGTCGGATGTTCCAGGAATGGCAAAAGCTCTCCCTTTCCCCCATGTCACTCAAGCCTAGAATCAGGCATTGCAGTTTGTCAGAAGTCAGCTCACTACAAAACCCAGGTATTCCCTTGGGACACATTCAACTGCAAGGGGTAGGGAAATCAATTCCAAATGACTTAATCATTAAGGAAACGTGTCTTCCTGTAAATTCAGAAATGCAGCGATGGCACGGCGGTTCTGACACGCACGCCTTCAGCTTTGAGAAACACACGCCCTGACCCCTGGCAAGGTTTATTTATATTGTCCCCTGCTACAAGAAATCCAGAGGCATCCAGAGCTGGTGGGGTGACTCCGGGTTGCTACCAGGGCCTCAGGCTCTTTCCCAGGTTTGTTGTTGTTGTTGTTTCATTTTTGACAGAGTCTCACTCTGTCGCCCAGACTGGAGGGCAATGGTGCGATCTCGGCTCACTGCAACCTCTGCCTCCCGGGTTCAAGCAATTCTCCAACCTCAAGAGTAGCTGGGACTACAGGCTCCCACCACCGCGACCAGCTAATATTTGTACTTTTGGTAGAGACAAGGTTTTGCCATGTTGGTGAGGCTGGTCTTGAATGCCTGACCTCAAGTGATCTGCCCATGGCAGCCTCCCAGAGTGCTTGGATTACAGGCATGAGCCACTGCACAAGGCCACTTTCCTGGTTTTTGCTCGGCCATCTTGAGCATGTGGCTCCTCTTGCCAGGGTTGGCCATGGTTGGCCACGGTTGGCTGTGGCTGCAGCATGATATTCTGCCTTCGGCTCAGATCCACACCGCAGGTGGGAAGAGTGGGCAAGGGCTGGGCAGCGTGTCCACCATGTTTGTCTCTTTTTGAAAAGTTCTTCCGGGCGCCCCACTGGCAAACTTGGCTTCCTTATCATTGGTCATACTGAATCACGTGGCCACTCCTGGCTGCAAGGCAGTCTAGGGGAGCGAGTGCCTTTTGCTGGCTCATTGCCACCCCAATAAAATTAGGGTTCTGTCAACAAGGAAGAAAAGGAGTGAGGGCATGGGGCAGGCCCTGGGTAGCATGTGCCACCAGAGTTCAAGGGTCGTTGAAAGACATCTTCCACAACCTGTGTTCTCTTTCTTTTTCCATTTCATCCTCCTCAATGTGTGGATTCCTGCCCTGAGATATGTTTTATCCCCTCAGTTTCAGGCGGGGGTCCTTTCCTTGAAGGCATGTGCTGATGTCCCCTCAAATAAAAGAGGGTTCTCCCAGCAGGGAGGAGAGTTGGAAGGAGCTGTAGCTGGGCAGCTGATGATATTTGTTTCACGTCTATTCACTGGAGCTTCTTTTATCCCACCCTCCTTTCAGTTCAGCTCATTGCAATTTCATTTCCATCTTACAGCATGGATCACTCACCTATGCCTACAAGGGTGCTGCCAGGGAAACCACCCCCAACCTTTTATTCTCTTGAGCAGGGAGTTGGCTTCAGGTTGGCGGACCTTGGCTGGACCCATTAATATAGTTCCTGCTCAGCTGGAGGTCGGCTGTCTTGGTTGGGCTGGCTCATCCTTCTCCTGGGACCAATGGGCCATTCTGGGCATGGCGGTTGATAGTGGGGGCATAGGCACAATAGCCATGTAGAAACATGCAATAGATTTTGGTTTTGTTTTCTTTTGAGATGCAGTCTTGCTCTGTCACCCAGGCTGTAGTGCACTGGCGCCATCTCAACTCACTGCAACCCCCGCCTCCTGGGTTCAAGCGATTCTCCTGCCTCAGCTTCCTGAGTAGCTGGGACTACAGGCGCGCGCCACCGTGCTCACCTAATTGTTCTGTATTTTTAGCAGAGATGAGGTTTCACTATGTTGGCCAGGCTGGTTATCAAACTCCTGACCTCGTGATCCACCCGCCTCAGTATCCCAAATTACTAGGATTACAGGCCTGAGCCACCACGCCCAGCCACATGCAAGAATCTTAAAGTCTGGTTTCAAAATGACACACTATCCCTTTCATCACATGCTATTGGCAAAAGCAAGTCCATGGCCAAACTCAAGTCAAGGCTGGGCGAATACACTCCACCCCTTGCGGAGGAACCACAAAGTCACATGGGTGGCTCACCTTCCTCGTCTTCGCTATTTGCTGATGCTCCTCCCACCTCTCTTTGTTTTGGTCTCATTTATGGACTCCTCTCCTCTCTCCCTTTAAACGTTAGGGCCCTAAGGCTTCTCTTCTCTTCTGTCTCTACGAGTGGTTTCTGTGCCGTCTCAACCATTCTCTAGTTTTCAGTCACTGTGTTGACACTAATGACCCCAAATCCATAACTGCAGCCTTGGCCTCTCTCCTGAGTCCAGCGGCCAATGGGACACACCCCCCTGAACATCTCACAGAATCCCGAGATCTTTCTCCCGCTTTGACCTCAGCGCCCTCAGCCCCAGCCACACCCCAAACTCCCTCCTCCTTTATTCCCATGGCACACGACCCCTTCCATGTAGCTGCCCAATCTGGGAATCTGGATGTCAGAGAGTACCCCTGTCTCCACAGTCCCGTTCATGCTACAGCTCATGCTGATCATGTCACTGGCTGAGCACTTCCTGTGTGTCAAGGGCAGGGCTAACCTCATCCCAGTATTCTCTGATTTAATTCCTGAAACACCCACTCCGAGGAGGGAGGCACTGATATCAAGTTGTCCGTTTTTATGTGGCACAGGCCCTCATCAGACAGGTGGCTTATTTCAGAAGCTGCAGTGAACGCTCCCAAACCAATTGATTCTGCCAATCCCCAGGGAAAAATCCTTCAGAATCCTCATGGCCCCAGAGGCCCAGGCTAAACCCCTTGCTCTGAAGTTGTTGGGTCCAAGATTCTCTCATTTATTCACACAGCAAAGGAAATGACTGCACTCACTCCATGTGCCAGTCAGCCTCTGGGTACTGGAGAAACACGGGAGGCCCTGGAAACTTAGGCCCAATGGCAAGAAAGAAAATAATAAATATCTAACATGTCAGATAATGATGAAGAGCTGTGAAGACAAATAAGGCAAGGCAAGGGGAGAACCATTTACAAGGGGTCACTATTTCAGGAGGGAATTCAGAGCCAGCCTCTCTGCTAGGAAGGGATTGTCATGAAATAAGGGGGCAGCATGTGCAAAGGCCCTGGGGTGGAAAGGGGCTTGGTGGCTGCCTGTGCAATGAGTGTGAGAGGTGGAGGAGGCCACAGCATGGGCGTGGCTTCTACCCCAAGTGAAGTGGGTGCCATGGAGGGTTTTGAGTAGAGGAAGGCCCTGCCCTGACTGATTTTCACAGAATCCCTCTGGCTGCGTGTGGATAACAGTCTTCACGGCAGCCAGGAAGCAATGAAGTCTGCAGCAGGAAGCGAGGTTTTGCAGGCCTCATGACGCTTAGATCACAGAGAGGACTCAGGTTTGAGTGACATTCTCAAAAGGCACAGGAAAGCCAAACAGGACTTTCGGGTTAACCAGAACCTGCCAGAAGATGGATGGTGCCTGGCATACCCTGACCCCAGGTACCTGGTCTTCTGTCCTTTTCTGCAGCATCCTCGGCAGGCGTGGACGCTGCGGAGCTGGTGTTGCTGGTGGGTTTTCCCCTGTGCCTGCCTCCCGGCTGTTGAGGACAGTGCTGGGGAGGATGTCAGCACTTTGCACCCCAGCGTGGTCTAGGCGACGGTGGCCCAGCTCCTGCCAAAGACGCTGACTTCTCTGAACCTGAGAACAAACAGTGACGTTTTCAGTTCTGAAAAAAAAAAGCCCTGTGTCCATGTAGGCTGCATCCCCCATCGCCAGACTCACTTATCTCACTGCACAAGCCTTCAAAGAACAGCACAATGTATTTATGTCTGTGGTTTAGGTTCCCAAAACCTGTGGCATCAGATAAGTACGATGTTCACAAAAACAAACACTGCAGAAAGGGGAAAAAATGACCAAAAAGAAGTTGCTGGTTTCAGCCTCGACTTCCTCTCCCAAGAAAAAGGGGCTCTATCTGGTTGAGGTTTCACTGTATGGAGGCTGGGGGTCAGAGGAATGCCGTCCTGCCCACCATCCGACTTCTCGCATCTCTGCCTTTGATGTGTGACTTTCTGAGCCTGAAAAATCTCACCTGCAAAATGGAAATGCCGATCTCCACCTCTTGGGACTAATAAAATCAATAATAAAACGATAATTAAAATATACCAATCATTGCTCATCTTTGGATCAACTGTGTTCCCTAGGTCAATTTCTTAGTAAATGCTCGTATTGGCCTGTGTTTTGCCTTCACAGGGTGGCTACGGAGAACATCTCCAGTTGGCAGACGGGGAAACTGAGGCTTCAAGTAGGAGAAATCGGCAGTTACAAAACACTGCATGGCTGCTTTCGGTTTTTAGAAAATACAAATATGTAAAATATCAATTAAACAAATAAATAACAAAATATAAAAATATAATTAAGCAAAAACGTTTGGTGGGTTACATGCCCAAAAGTCACAGTGGTTTCCTGGTATCAGAGTGACCGCTGAGATCCGAGTCCCACAGCTGTCTCTTTTTCATCACTCCTGTCTCGGGAAAATGTCACCTCTGCCAAGAGGCCCTCCCGAAACTCTTACCTAAGGTGGCCCTCCAGTCCCTCTTATTCCACTCACCTTATTTTATCTCTTTATGTCCTGGCCGTCGCTGGAATGCACCGTAGTTTTTCATCTGTTTCTGGGCTTGCCACCTGTGTTCCCCGCTAGAGTTTCAGATCTACGAAAGCAGGAACTTCACTCTGTCCCCAGAGCCTTGCCTAGTCCCTGGCACTAGTGGATCTCAATAAATATTCCTGGACCAATGGATGGTGTTTTCTTATTTTTAAAAAATTTACTTTGCCCACTGGGTGTGGTGGCTCACGCCTGGAATCCCAGCACTTTGGGAGGCTGAGGCGGGAGGATAGCTTGAGTCTAGGAGTTTAATGCCCACCTGGGCAACATAGTGAGAACCTGTCTCTATTAAAAAAAAAAAATTAAAGTATTAGTGGGGCATGGTGGTACCTGCCTGTAGTTCCAGCTGCTCTGGAGGCTGAAGTGGAAGGATTGCTTGAACGCAGGAGGTCGAGGCTGCAGCGGGCCATAATCATGCCACTGCACTCCAGCCTTGTGACACTAGACCTTGTCTCAAAAATAAAAATTAAAAATTTGCTTTGCTTTTTAAAAAGCAAAGCACACCATGTGGGTTATTTTTAATTGTTGTTTTAAGCGCTGGTCAAAAATGAGCTGGCAGGAGCCTCAGCAGGAAGGCATGGCCTCCGCGGCCTTATCTGGCCGAGTGTGAAGGAAGTGGGCACCCTGGCTTCCCACAGTGTGGGTCAGGCAGCGGACATCCCAGAGTTTCCCAGCCCAGCCTGCCCTGAGTTCGCTGGCGCTGGAGATCTCCCCGCCTGGGACAGGGTTATCTTTGAGTGATGGCGTGTTCAGTCTCCCCCGTGGGGCGTGCTGCCCTGAATCTCAGGGGCAACAGGGATCCTCTGGGCCAAACACAACTCCCAGGAGGTGCTGCTTGGCCCATGTGGTTCAACCAGCTTGGAATTTTGTCATTATTTTAAAAATCAGATTTTGTAAGAAAACTAAAAAAAAAAAAAAAAAAAAAAAACAAGTCCTTCCAAAGGGGACCAAATAAGATGAGAATAATTGGATGGGAAGATTTCACATCCTTCAGATGACAATTCTGCCAACATACATAAGCTTAATGCAATTTAAAGTAACGACCCACGGGGGGTTTTTTTAGTTGAATAAAGCAATCTTTGAGTTCATGAAGAAAAAAATATAAAATGAAAGAACGGTGGAAAGGATCAGGACAAAGATAATATTTCAACTCACTGGGAAATGGAATATGTGAGCCAGAACGCCAGCAGAGCCCACTATCAGCAAAAACTAAAAATGAACTCCCATCTTCTACTACAAATCTAGAGATTTCACATGAAACATCTGGTGTTCTGGCTTGTCCAAAAGTCCTGACCACACTGGGCCCTCATTTTTGCAAGGCAGCGATGGGTTGATGCTGAGTGGCAACTTGGGGACACTCAGTGCACTGCAATCCCCGCCACTCCCTGCTGCCTCCCACCTGACTGCCTTCAATCATCAGTGTGTCTCGCTTGCGTGTTTGTAGCCTCTGAACTCACTACACAACAGAAGGACTCAGGGAAGCTTTTGAAGTTTTTGAAGCTTTGAAGTTGGATTTCTGCTGTTAGCCACCTTTGCGCTATTTTCATTTTTCTGAGTGGAAATAGATATTTAGAGGAGCACTGTGGCTTGAGGCATGATTAATAGCATGGACCCGGGCCGAGCTCGGTGACTTATGCATGTAATTCCAATGCTTTTGGAGGCTAAGGTGAGAGGGATGCCTGAGGCCACGAGTTCAAGACCAGCCTGGGTGACAGAGTGAGACCCTGCCTCTAAAAAAAGAAGAAAGAGAGAGAGAAAGAAGAAAGAAAGAAAAGAAAGAAAGAAAGAAAGAAAGAAAGAAAGAAAGAAAGAAAGAAAGAAAGAAAGAAAGAAAGGAAGAAAGAGAAAGAAGAAGGAAAGAGCCAGAGAGGCTTGAGCAACCTCTGAAGAGTGACTTCCCCTCTCAGTGCCTCAGTTTCCTCCTCTACCACATGGGGATAATAAGAGCTGTCGCTCATCATCCTAGTTGCAGAGATTGGTGCCATTCTGCAAAATACTTAGCCCGAGGCCCAGTGAAGAGTCAGTGCCAGGTAAACAGTGGTGATGACAAAAACCCTCTCCCTCACATCTATGGCTTTTGGTTCTCCAGCTTCTAAGGGAGGAAAGAAAAAAAGGAAGAAAAGAAGAAAGGAGGGTGCAGAGCGGAGAATTTGCTTTTACCTTTGATCTCCTTTTGCCAAAAAGGAGGGGAGAAAGTAAATAAACAGCCCTGGCCTCCTTTGATTCCAGCGCCTGCCCAGTGCAGAGCTCCAGAGCTGATAAGAACCAGCCGAGTTCTAACTGGGCAACTCCACCCTCCTGACCAGGCCTTTCCTTGGCATTTAGAATCTGAGACCCCAGAGCCCTCCCCTGCACGCCGCCCTCGGCTCACACTGTAAATTCACTTCTCGCCTTCCAACCACAGGGAAAAAAGATGGAGAGAACTTGCCCACTGTGGAACCCCGCACAAAACAATCGGGTCGGTTTGGAGACAAGAAAGGGGGCTTGGAAAGGGGCCTCTGAATGCATTAGGAACCCAGTCCCCCTGATCTCAGGAAGAAGCCCCCACACTGGGGACTTCTGGAAAAGCGAAATGCTCAGGGATCAGTCCTGGCAATGAATGAAGCAGAAGGAGGGTGAGGTTCTCAGAGCAGAGGAGACCCACTCCCCACCCCTCAGTGGTTGGTGGAGAGAAGCCATGTGCACCGTGGGTAATGGTGTAGCCTTGAACCCATTCGTTTATGGTTGTGTGACTTGGCCCTGTCGAGCTTCAGTTTCTCATCAGCCCTAGCACTGGGCTCGCGGGATTGCTGAAGGTTAACTGAGCTTGTGCCCATCAGGTGCCTGGCGCAGACATAGCGGGTGCTCGTGATTGGACATGATGATCATAAAATGGCTTAGGGAGTCTGAGGGCGGCCTCAGGAGGAGAGACAAAAAAGAAAAAAAAAAAAAAACCTGCCCAGTCCTCATGTCCAGAAAGATGAAAGAGATCAGTTTGAAATCTCTAAGGGCATCAAGGGCCATACAGTGGCCAAGGTCAGCCACCGGGTCTGCTTGAAGTTGGGAGGAGGTAAATTCAGGACAAAGCTTAGTATACACAGAAGACATTCCTCTACATTCCCCCGACATAGGCCCTAAATGACGGCTCTTGGAGCTTCTCCAGGGCCTCTGCTAAATAGCTCAGGGCTAAGGCAGAGGGCCCGGGAGAAGACGCAGAGGTGAGTGGTCCCTCCCACCTCTGCCTCTTCTGGGCTGCCTGACCTGTGTGCCTGGCCTCAGTTTCTCCACCTGTAAAATGAGGCCATAATAACACCAACCCTATAGGTTCTGAGGATAGCATTCAGTTGGTGCTCAGTGAATGAACAAAAGTTACAAACCACAACTGCTTTCAGGATGAGGCTGTGGAAGCGGCCGTCAGCAGAAGTGACTGCTCCTGACTCCTTCCTCGGGACGCCCAGGCTCAGCTCCGCGTCCACCGCCTGTCCACCTACCCTGAAGGCAGGGGCTTGCTCTGCTTTGCACATTCCCAAGTCCTCAGGGCCTGGCATAGAGCAAGCATTTGTTCAGTGAATGCATGAAGCTGGGTATTCTGTGGTCAACCTCCAGTGAGAGCAGATGGAGGCCCAGAGAGGCCAGGTAACTTCCCCAAGGCCTCACAGCCCTGAAGGCAGAGCTGGAACTGGGGCTGAGCTGAGCCTGGCTTACACCCCTGCTTGCTCTGGGCCTTCCCCTCGGGGAGACCTGCCGTCCCCTTTCTGAACACCCTGCCCAGGCTTCCCCCACCCTGGAGAGCTGGCACAGGGAGCTCCTCAGGTGACCCTTCCACGAATGTTCCAGACAATCACTGCCCTCAGCAGGGACTGGCCTTCCACTCTCTCTCTGGTGGGCTGATGGCCACCAGCTTGCTGCCTGCAGGCCTCACCTGGCTTCAGACGAGTTCTGTATGACCTGCACTGCGTGAGTTTCCTTTGTCATTTTGAATCATTTGCCAACATTTAAAAATTGGTGATTTCATATAAAACCCAGAATTTCCAGCTTCTTCCAGAAAGCCAGTCTCTCTGGCCACCAGGTCTGCTTTTTCTTGGGCCCTGGTCAGCAGGAGCTTCATCCTAGGCCCTTCAGTCCCCTTGTTCTGACCTGGTGGTTGTCACTCACCCCTGGGCCTCCTCTCCCAGCCTTGCAGCCTCCTCGCATAAAGACCCAGGCCTGCCCCGGAGACCAGGCCACCCACTCTCTCGCCACCACACAGGGCCTCCTCTGTTCACCCTCAGCCCGGGCACTCCCAGGGAAAGCCACAAAGGCAGGATTGGAGCTGGACTCCAGGTGTGCAGCAGACAGAATGATGGCCCCCAAAGGTGCCCATGTCCTAGTCCCCGGAGCCTGTGCATGTGTGACCACACATGCCAAAAGAGACTTTGTAGGTGTGATTGAATTCAGGGCTTTGACATGGGAAGATGAGCCTGGCTTACCCAGTAGGCCCACTGCAGTCACCAGGGTGTTATGAGAGGGGTGGGGCAGAGATGTGGCAGTGGGTGAAGAGGTGGGAGCCGTGCCAGCCAGCGAGTGCCCTTGACCTCAGGCACTGGAAAAGACAAGGCACGGACTCTGCCCTGAAGCCTCCAGAAGGAACTTCATGCTTCCCTGAGCCTTGATCTTCCCCTGGGAAGACCCACTTCGGCTTTCTGACTTTCAGGAAGGCCATGAATGGGCATCATGTTAAGTTTGGGATAGTCTGTTACAGCAGCAATGGGAAACATCACAGGCTTGGCCTCTCCCTGGCTGTGTGCCCTAGGGCAGGTGACAGAGTGTTGAGCCTGGGTTTTCCCATCTGAAAAGGGGGCAAACAGAGACTTCTGTTAGATGGGAGCTGTGTATGGGAGCAAAGTCAACCACACAGGTGAGGTGTAGGGCAGAGCCCGGCAGCTCACGTGCTGACGCCACCACGGTTAGCACTGCCCTCGTGCTTCCTCTCACATCTCTCGCTGACATTGAAACCTACTCAGAGCAGTCTTTTGAATCTGCCCATTGCTGCCCAAGATAAAGACCAAACTTCCTACTTAGGATCCTACATAATCTGCCTTGCCTACCATTAATAACGATGAGGAGGAAACAATAGTATCCACTAGCACTGATAAAGCACTTGGCATGAGCCAGCTATTAACTACGCGTTAACTCATTTAGGCCAGGTGCAGTGGCTCAGGCTCATTCCAGTGCTTTGGGAGGCAAGGTGGGAGAATCGCCTGTGGCCAGGAGTTCAAGACCAGCCTGGGCAACATAGCAAGACTCCCCCCGCCATCCCTACAAAAAATTAAAAAATTGCCACTTGTGGTGGCATGTACCTATGGTGCCAGCTAGTCAAGAGGTGGAGGTGGGAGGATTGCTTGAGCCCTGGAGACTGAGGCTGCAGTGAGCTGAGATCTCACCATTGCACTCCAGCCTGGGTGACAGAGTGAGGCCCTGTCTCAAAAACACACACAGACAAAAATTATTTAGGCCAGCGGCAGTGGCTCACACCTATAATATCAGCACCTTGGGAGGCGGAGGCAGAAAGATCACCTAAGTCTAGGAGTTTGAGACCAGACTGAGCAGCAGAGTGAGATCTCATCTCTACAAAAAAATTAAAAATTAGCCAGGCATGGTGGTGTGCACCTGTAGACCCAGCTATTTTGGAGGCTTAGGCAGGAGGATCACTTGAGCCCAGGAGCTGGGAGGCTGCAGTGAGCTATGATCAAGCTACTGCACTACAACTGGGGTGACCAAAATAAATAATAACTTCAAAAATGCGTTTACTACTCACAACAATCCTATCACTTTACCTATTTTTCTGATAGGTAAACTGAGACCCAGAGGATTAAGTCACTTGCCCAGGATCCCCTGACAGGCTGGTAGCTAGCTGGGATTTTATTTGGAGCCTGGATGGACCACAGGGCCATGCTCCCTCCATCTATGAGCAGACCAGGGAACAGCACTCAGGGCCCCAGAGAGTGGCCAGAGACTCAGTGATTATGGCCTCCCCTCCACTCACTGCCTGTCCTAGGTTCAATCCTGGACGCGATGGATCTGAGGCTTAAGGCTCTACCTGGTTTACAGTCGTACCCACGAGTCTGTTTATTTCGCAAAACAGTTTCCAGCAGTGCGCACTTTCTGCTGGACACCTGGTTCCAGAAAAAATGCAGACCCGTCCCCTGCATTTAAGTTTATGGAGACAGGCCAGGCTTACACCTGTAATCCTAGCACTTTAAGAGGCCGACGCGGGTGGATCACCTGAGGTCAGGAGTTTGAGACCAGCCTGGCCAACATGGTGAAACCCCGTCTCTACTAAAAATACAAAAATTAGCCAGGCGTGGTGGTGGGCACCTGTAATCCCCACTACTCAGGAATCACTTGCACCCGGGAGGTGGAGGTTGCAGTGAGTCAAGGTTGCGCCACTGCACTCCAGCCTGGGGGATAGAGCGAGGCTCTGTCTCAGAGCAACGACAACAGAAGATTGTGAAGACAGATGTATGCCTAGGCTGTCACAGCCAAGTGAGGGAGAGCAGGGGTTCTGGGGGCAGGCGGAGGTAGGGGGCAGCTCCCTGAGGGGAGTCCATCTGAGGAGAAGCTGAAGGAAGCTGACACTGCCTGGGCTGAGTGCTGTGAAAAGGATGCCCCAGGAAGGCCCTGGTGAGAGGGAGTCCATGTACTTGGAGAGGTGGGTGTGGTCCCAGGTGGCTGGAGTGCTGGAGAGAGTGGAGACGTCAAGAGGTCAGCCCAGGCTTGGCCACTCACTGTGTGACCCTGGGCAACCTACACCACTTTTCTGAGCCTTCGTGTCCGCATCTGTAAAATAGGAATAAGGATAGCACCTGCCTCCTGGGGTGGTTCTGAGGAGTCAATGCATCAACACGTGCGAAGATCAGTGCCTGGCATCAGGAAGGGCTGCATCAGAACGATAATCACCGTCTTGCTGCTATGATTATGAATAAGAAGCATCGCGTTAGCCTGCATACCGCTTCCCCTTCCAATCAGCTCCTCAGATGGAGAAGCCGTGGAGCCTCCGCAACTTCATGGACTGACCCAGAGAGACCAGTGAGGACCCCCTGCCTGCGGGAAGGGATGTCTTCCCAAGAGGGTTCATGTCTGCCATCCCAGACTCCGAATCCAGACTGGCATCTACACTCGCTGGGGTTCCCAGCCTCAGGCAGCTTAGCCCTCTGCCCGGTGTTCACCCTCCGTGTCCCTCCTGTCCTTCTGTGTTTGACCTCTGTGTCCTTCTGTGTCCTTCCCTGATCCCTTGAACTCCTTCCTCATCTTCACCAATACCATTTGTCAGTCACATTCAGTGCTCAAGCTTCTCTTTTACAAGCACATTAACAATACGCATTGCAGCGTGGTTTTGAGCACTTGCTGGGTGCCTGGCAGGTACATTCATTCGTTTATTCACTCAGCAAGGAGCCTGAGCATGACCTGTGTACACTGGCGTTCTTCAGTGATAACAGACAGAGGTCTTTGCACTTCCTGTGGGGGTTAACATTGTGGGGGTGGGGAGTGGAGCCGATCATAAAGAAACCGGTAGTCTCCAAACTTCCTTGTACACGTAAATTCACTAAATCGCAACAACCTTATGAAAAGTTTTCCTTCATTTTTCAGGTGAGAAAACCAAGGCTCAGGGAGAAGAACTTGCCTAAAATCACACAGCTATGAAATGCCCAAGCTGAGGACGGGCACAGTGGCCCACGCCTGTAATCCCAGCACTTTGGGAGGCCAAGGTAGGCCAATCACCTGAGGTCAGGGGTTCGAGACCAGCCTAGCCAACATGGTAAAATCCCTGTCTCTACTAAAAATACAAAAATTACCCAAGCATGGTCTCAGGCACCATAATACCAGCTACCTAGGAGCCTGAGGCAGGAGAACCACTTGAACCCAGGAGGTGGAGGTTGCAGTGCGAACCCATACCTGTCAGACTCCAGAGCCTGTGCTCTTTCTCTCCCCAGGAGGCTGTCTATGAAGATGTTGGCCCAGCTCCACATACAGTCATCTGCCTTGCCAGCAGCACATTTGAGAAGCTCCATGAGGTCTGAGGTCAGGGGTACTGGTGCCCAGGGGCACAGCTCACTCCCACAAGGCCCTGGGCAGGCTGAGCTCTGCCCTCCCTTCCAGCAGCCTCTGACCGGGAAGGCCAAGTACACAGTCATTCTCTGGCCAGAGCCTGCGGGAACAGGACGTCCTGGTCCTCCTGCCCTGGTGGGGCCCAGCAAGCTATTTTCGTGCACGTTTATTGATGCGACACGGGTGCCCGGCTGGACTCCTGATTCAAGAGGAAGGCCCCAGGCTGGCCCGGGGTGGTTCTGCTTCTCCAGGCCTTTCCTGCCTTGGAACAGCAACTGTCTGCATCGTGTCTACATCCCAGGTCAAGGGTGTAGCCTGAGCTGGCTGACTCAGTGAAGAACAAGGGTGCAGATAGATTTGGGGGATCACACAGACTATTAGTGTTTCCCAAAATTCTGGAGCCTGATTAATTCATAGGCAGGCAGAACACAGAATGAATATGACACAGCAGGTTTTGAGGTTAGGCTTGGGTTCAAACCCCCGCTGTGTCCCCTGTGGGGCAAGCCAGGTCAACTCCTGGAGGCTTGGTTTCCCTGCCTGTAAAATGATAACAATCCTTACCCACAGGGAGGTAATGAAGCTTGAATAAGATAGCCCCCACAGCTCAAAGTCGGCATACAGTAAGTACTCAATAATGAATAAGAACTTCGCAAATAATGATTGACAGCTGACATTTATTGGGAGTTTAGCAGGGGCGAGGCAGTGGGCTAAATTATTGACATTTAAAAAAATCTTGGTCTGGCCGGGTAGCTCACACTTGTAATCCCAGCACTTTGGGAGGCTGAGGCAGGTGGATCATGAGGTCAGGAGTTTGAGACCAGCCTGGCCAATATGGTGAAACCCCATCTCTACTAAAAATACAAAAATTAGCCAGGAGTGGTGGTGGGTGCCTGTAGTTCCAGTTACTCAGGAGGCTGAGGCAGGAAAATCGCTTGAACACAGGAGCAGAGGTTGCAGTGAGCTGAGATTGCACCGCTGCACTCCAGCCTGGACTACAGAGTGAGATTCCATCTCAAAAAAAAAAAAAAAAAGTACTCACTTCACCCCCTAACAACAATTCGTGGTGAATGACGTGCTTATAGGTGCCATTATTATTCCCTTTTACAGGTAAGAGCACTGAGGTTCGCAAAGAGGAATTATTTGTCCAGTATCACCCAGCAGATGTGTGGCAGAAAAACCTGCCTTTGAACTCAGGCCCTAAGACAGGACAGGGCCAGGGTGCGGAGCTGTGCCTCACGCCGTTTCCCTCCCAGGAGGACTGGTTACAAAGACCCCATCAACACCCGAGTGCCCGCTGTACGTGCTCCTCTCAGTCACCCCCTGCCCCAGGAGGTGACCTCTAGGGCCTTCCTGATGATGGAAACCCAGACAGCGACATTCCTGAATATTCCCTTGACCCTTCTTCCTGCCCTTGGGGTTATTTTGTTTTCCTGGAGAAATCTCCAAGAAACCGGCTGTGCCGGCAAAGTCTGGACTGACTCGGAGGCTGCTATGCTGTGTATGCTGGGGTGGATGCCGGGGGCCCGGCGGGCAGGGGAGGGCAGAGGCTCGCATGCCCAGGCACCTGAAGGCCCAAAGTCAATGCAGTGTTTCCTTGGTAAAGTGCCCTCCTGGCCTGGCACCTGCTTACAATTCAACTCAATGCCCTGAGGGTACATTGCAGTCTCCTTCAGCTAAAAGAAGCAGCCTTTTGTGATCTGTCCTCTGCCTTTCTAGCCTTCTACCACTGGACCCCCTCCAAAAAGAAAAGCTTTGCCCTGCTTCCAGGCCTTTGCCCTGCTGTGCCCTCCTCCTGTCCTGCCTTTCCTCCATGGTTCTCTCGCCATCTGCTTCTTCTCCTGGTGCTTCAGGACTCCTCCACTGTGAGGTCCTCCCAGAATCCCCCAGCCCCCTACTCGGGCTTGCTACTGTGACAAAGGGACTCTGCTTCCAGAACTCCGTTGTACTCTAGACTACAATGCCCAGCTGGTGAGCTGACACCTCCATGTAGGTTTCGCACAGGCCATTTAATTCTTGGTGACGACTGTGTGACATCTAGCTTGCAGGACTCGTGAGCCAGTAGGAGCTGGTGCCAGCAACCCCACTAGTTGAAAGCAACACGAGGGCAGGGACACTGCCCAACTTGTCCCCGGCTGTTTCCTGGGGCTTGGGAGAGTGGGAGCCTGCATTTGTTGACTATTTTATGATGCACCTGTTTGCATCCGGGAGCACAAACTGTTTGCCTCGACTTGACTTCATGGGCTGAGTCCAGCCCACAAGCGGGTGTCACCTGGCTCTCAGAATGTTTTTGGTATTTTTACAAAATTCATTGCCAACATTTAAAAGTCAAGAGTTTTTTTTTTTTTTTTTTTTTTTTTTTTTTTTTTTTTTTTTTTTTTGCATGAAATCGCACATAAACCTAGTTCTAGCTTCTCCTGGAAAATCAGAAGCTCTGGGCATGCTGGGCCCGGCTCCCTCATGACAACAGAGGCTGGAGCTGAGGGGCACGCAGCCAGCGCCTTCAGACTGGGCAGGGGCTCGCCAGTTTTCCTCAGGCCCCACCCTCCCCGCAGTCTCACACCGGGCCCACTTCATTTGTTAACATAACCCGCTGGGCCTGTGGATATGGAGATGTAACTGCCATCTTGGCCCCCATCGCAGCACTTGTCACAGTGTGGGCCTGTCACGGTGTCCCCACTAAGCAGTGAGCACCTTGGGGACAGGCTCTGTGAAGGACGCCCCTTGGGGCCCCCACTCCTGACACATAGTAGGTCCACAGGTTCTTGAACTGGCTTAAATGTTTGTTGTCCAATGAATCCCAATCCACCCCCATCTACCCGAACTAGGGCACGCATTAAACTCAAGCCCCGACCGGAATGTGACAAAGAGGTTGGCCGAGGCCAGGGTTTAAAAATACCCCGGGGCTGGTCAGCTGTGAGGTCCTCGGAGGTGTTGAAACAACCAGACCGAGGTGGCTGGAGGCCAGCGCACCCACTTTGCTCTGTGTGATGTGGGCTAATGGGAGGGATCACCAGTAGGTCCTGGCGTGGGGGTGTGGGGGTGGGAGGACTAGATGCTGCCCCCTCCCCCATGGCTCTGCTTGGGAAAGGTCAGAGCTGTTTATAAACAGCATGGGGTGACATGACATAATTTCGCTTAAAGGGTTATCAGGCAGGGCATGGACATCGGGTGGCCTTCCCTGATGTTTCCACGCCGCAGTGTCCTGGCATCAAGAAAGCCGGGATGCTGCTAGCACTGTGGTCTCCCCGTGGCCTTCAGAGCCATGGCCCAGCCCGCTGGAGCCAGGCTTAAAAATAACGCTCCCAGCACAGTCTCCTGGGGGACAGCCAGCATGGGGGCTGGACAGGGAAGGAACGAGCTCTGCTGGAGTGCCCACTGGATGCCAGGCATGTCAGAGCATCAGCTCATGGAGCCACACATGGGCCTTGGGAGGGAGAGATTGTCATCCAGATGGGGAAACTGAGGGTCGGGGAGTGGTGCCACTGGCTCAATATTTCCCAGGAAGCAGCAGTGCTGCCATGCCAATCTATGAGATGAGAATGACAAGAAGGCAGACTCTGTGTCACGCTGCTGTTCCCGTGTCCCTGGAATAGCGCTCGGCCTCAGGAAGCCTCAGGAGGCAGCTCCCATGGAACATTTCCAGGATTGAAACCCGCTCTCCCACCATAGCTCGTCCCCGTCAAGGGCAGCCCCATCCTCCCAGATGCTCAGGCCAGATACCCGGGCATCATCCTCAACTCTTCTCCTTCTCTTATTCCCACACCCTCGATTTCTGCTTCATCCAGACCCAGCCACTCCTCCCTGCCATGGCCCAGCACCCCCCTCACCTGGATCCTCAGGAGCCTCCTTCCTGGTCTCCTCCTTCCACTCTCACCCCGACAGTCCTTCTCCATCAGTGCCCAAGGCAACACATTGGACTCAAGTCATCTATCACCTGAATGTCATTCATTCGTTCACTCTGCATCCTAATAGGATGCAACAGTGAACAGAACACACTTGTCCCTGCCAGTGTGGAGCTGAAATTATGGCATGGGGGAGGAAGGGGGCATCAGCCTTAACAGGTAAATTAAATAGATCAGGTTTCTGATGGCAGTGAGTGCTAAGGAGAAAAATAAGCTTGAGAAGGAGGAGGGGAGCATCAGAGAGGAACAAATCTGAATAGGGGCTGGGGTGCAGGGCAAGGAAGATCTCACTGAGCAGTATTTGAGTGCAGCTTGAAAGAGTGAGGGACTGGGCAACGGGATTTCCAGAGGGAGGGCATTCCTGGTAGAGGAAACAGCAAGTACAAAGGCCCCGGGGCCGGACCATGCCAGGCATGAGTGAGGATGGCAGAGAAGAGGCCAGTGTGGCTGCAGCAGAATGAGTGAGGGGAAGCATGGGAGCAAGTGAGCTCAGAGAGATGAAGGGCAGTGCCCATAGAGCCTTGCACGTCAAAGGAAGGACTTAACTTGCCTCTGGGGTAGGTGGAAGCCACGGAGCGTTCTGAGCAGAAGAGGGTTCTGACTTCCTTTCTGAAAGAATCCCTTGGGCTGGGTGTAGAGAGGATGGGCTGTTAGGAGCCAGCGGGAAGGGGACAGTCAGGGTGACTGCAGTGGTTCAAGCAAAAGAGAATGGTGACCAGGCCCAAGGGGTGGCTGTGGAGGTGAGGAGGCAGGGAGAAGGCCATGGCCTCCAGATCTCTTCTCAGGTGGAGCTGGCAGGACATGCTGCTGGACTGGATGTGATCAATGGAAATCAAGAAGCCAAAGATGTTTGGGTTTCGGTTAACGCAGGAACAGAAAACCAGACGCACATGTTCCCACTTGTAGTGGGAGCTGAACAATGAGAAGACCTGGACACAGGAAGGGGAACAACACACACTGGGGTGTGTCATGGGGGTCGGGGAGGGAGAGCATCAGGATAAACAGTGAATGCTTGCTGGGCTTAATACCTAGGGGATGGGTTGATAGGTGCAGCAATGATGGCACACGTTTACCTATGAGACAAACCTGCACGTCCTGCACATGTATCCCGGAACTTAAAATAAAATCTAAAAATAAAAGCCATGGATGGCTCCAAGGTTCCAGATAGAGCAGCCGGAAGGATGGCGCTTCTGCCTGCGGAGGTGCCGGAGCACTGTGCCAGGCTCCCGGGAATGATG